GTGTGTGCGCGTGCGCATGTGTGTGTGTGTGTGGGTGTGTGCGTGTGTGTGTGTGTGTGTGTGTGTGCGTGTGTGCACGTAGGTCTTGGCATTCTCAAGTTATGAAGATGGAAGACGCTTATCGTCGGTTAATGCACGCCATGATCCCGAAGGTGAGGGCTCGCACAGTGGGGGTCGGGTCGCGAAAGCTTGGCCCGTGAAAGGGATGTTCTGACTGTTAAACTCCACTGAGTTTTTACTGATGTCAGACATGCATTGCATGCATGTGCCAGTCGTTCTCCTCGCTCCTCGAGCAGTCTGCACCTGCAGCAGAGGCATGAGCTCTCAGCATTGCTCCTTTGCTTGCTTCACCAGTGAATAGTGAATAGTAACATAGTAGATTAAGCATATTTGTCATGGCCTCATCTAGTCAATGCGGTACAGGCAATCGAAAATGCGTAAGATCCCCAGTGTAGCGCCTGGTCTTTCCACTCGTTGCCAAGACAGTCGCAATGGCGAGTAGACAGTCGGCACGCATTAGCCTCAGAACAGTTGAATATGAAAGAAGTAAAGGCGTATAATGTATGCTCAGGATGCGCTCCATACTCATGGTGGAAAAGGAGCATGCAGCATGCAGTTTAGAATCTCGCTTCAGTGGCCTGACACGTCATGGGATAGTGACTCAAATAGTAATTTCTTGGAGATACTCAATTCATGCCAGCAGAGTGTTGAACTAGCCGGAACTCCTTTCCTGCACCTCGATCAGCATGGGCCATTGTGCTACTAAGCACGGTAGCCATGGTCTGTCCATCTCTGTCTACCATCTACACGAAAGTGCTCCATGCATCATCTATAGCAAACTGTTCAATGCATCATGAACACGGAAGCCTGATCGGCACTAGAACTGCAGGATCTTATCATGTTGCTGTTGCAGACTTCGTGCTGCAATCGGAGCGCAACTCGATCACTCGCCGTACGAGCCAAACCACGAAATATACCAGCTCTTGTTCCTGTGGCCACTCTTCACGATGGCAGACTTCTTCGCCACAACAGAGAGGTTCTGATCTTGTCTGAACTTCTTGAGCAACTTGTCAGTGAATCCAGGGTCCTCTGCGCCCTTCAAGAGCTCGCTCTGCTTCTTGAGCTTCTCCAGCACCTTGACACGATCTTGCCAGCCACGGTGCTGATTGTTCTTCTCGTTCTCAACCATCATTTGAATGTAGGCCTCGCTGGGAATGGCGTTGGACCGCATTGCAATTTCTGCGAGGCGTTCCTTGCACTTCTTGGTTCGCACCAAGCAATCTGCCAGCACGGCGAGTGCCGCGTCCAAGTCATTAAGACCTTGCATGACCTTTTCCTTGTCAAGCTTGCCCTCGTTTGCAGCATCGTAGCTTGCCTTCAGCTCTTCTTGAGTCACCTGCTGGTTTTCAACATACCACTCAAGAATGTAAGGAAGATTCTGATGCTGGAACCAATGGCACTTCCTGGAGCAAACGGTGCAGTATCTATTGCGCATCACACAGCACTTCGCTTTGTCCTTGTCGTTCGACAAGATACAATTCTGGTGTGCACGTCCTGTTGGATCGCCATCTGCTGCATCGCCGTCGCATTTGCAAGAACGGATGAAGCAGCTGACCAGCAAGAACGTCTGCGAGCAGGCGACCAACTTCATACGTAGAACCCAAGCAAAGTAGTCATGAACTCTCCAAGAAACAGCATGGCTGTCCATCCGGAAAGCTAGTACTGTACTGACTGGACTAGCAGGCACTGCTTCAGGTTATGCCAGCCCTGTGCTCAATCAAGCATACGGGACAGTCTGAGCCGCACACCGTTGTCCTCCACGAAGCCTGAGACGATCATTGGTTCGTTATTGACAGATGGGATGAGAGAAGTCTGCCGCCGACTAATCCCCGCGGGCCCTCTGCAAGACCATGGCCTCCAGTTATATATTGTATACTGTATATATATATATATACATATCTATATATATATATATATACATCTCTCTCTATGTGTGTTTTGTATATATATACATATACATATACATATACATATACATATACATATACATATACATATACATATACGTACATAGCTATTATCACATAACACATTGTATAATATGCATTATATAACATGCATTATATGCATTATGTACTAGATACTATATGATATTATTATAAAGTATATATATATATATATACTATATACTATATATATATATATAACAAAGTGTTTTTAATATTATACTGTATGTTAGGTATTGAATGTACTGTTATGCGTACAACACTAAACATTACGCATATCAGGTTTTATCATATATCTTATTTGTTCTATATTCTGTAGTATTCTTCATACTATATTTTAATTATATGCTATATGTACTATGTAACATATTTTAAGTACTATTCATTATATATGTATATATATATATTCGAATTCCATACGACATTATTCATATTTCACAATATTACTCATGTTGACTTATATCTTGTAAACAGTACCTATTAAATATATGATACGAGTATACTATATATTGGGTGAGTGAGTGAGCGAACGACAATGTCTGGATGGGACCAGGATCGAGATGCAGAACATGAACTTCTCCCGCCTTCGTCTGCGGCCTGCTGTGCTTTATGAAGCCCCTTGAAAGCCCCTGCTCAGGCCGGTGCTGAACCTCCACCGTCTCCAAGGACTCAACCTGAACCTGCGAAGCATCATGGCTCCGGCTCAGTGACTGTTGATAAGCAAGCATACATGAATACATGTGTATATTCTCTTTATGAATATATGTCTGTAGTTTTACATGGGTATATATATATACACAAACACACATAAGTATACGGGAATCTGTGCGAGATATGGATGCAGACTGTATGTTTACTCATACGTACATACCTATATTTAGGGCAAATTTTCGGATACATCTGAACAGCTCGACTTGCCCCCGTCCCCCTAAACCCCACTCATCCCTAATAAAGGAACATGTGCTTTCAATAGAACCGTGAACTCCCGCAGCGACAAAGTCTCCTGCCCAACGCTTATAAGGTGTTTTTACTGACCACTGAAGCCAGCCTGCCTGATGATGCGACACAGGCAGCCGGAGCAGCAATGCGCCGCAGCTGCGGCTAGGTGTCCGCGCCAAACATGTCCAACAAGCCTGGCCCCGGCCAAAAGAAGCGCGTTCAGGGTTAGGTCGTTGGGATGTCTGGTGGTTCGGTGCCCTCGACGACCCCAACCTACTCGCGCAAGCGAACATTTAGCGCGACATAGGCCCATGGCACCTCCTCCTTCCTTCTGCCGCCTGGGACTCCGCCCGGCTCTACCAGATTTTGTAAAGGTGGATGCCACTGCCACGGCACCTGAAGAAGACAACAGAAAAGTGAGAGACGAGTGGCATGAGTGCTAATGTTGTTCTCCCTTATCTTGTCAACATCTGCTGCATTGTGTATACGTACAAATACATTGAACACATGGATAAATTAGCAGATAAATGTATGTGTATTTATACCTATGTCTACCTATCTAGCCATCTGTCTCTATCTACATTTTTTAGTTTAGTGGACTATATTGGTAGGTAAGTTCGTGTGCTGTCTTATGTACCAATGTTATGTATCACCTCCAACATATGATATATTGATTACATTTCTACTACTGGTACCATTTCAGTAACCTGAGGCCCACGCGCTGCATGGCATCTTCCGTCTTCACCTTTCCGAGGATCCCTTCGAAGTTGATGGCTACCTGAAGCTCTCAGGAAGAAAGCAAGCTTCCGCTGCGTCTTTAAGCGCCAAAATTTGTAGTGCTGCGTCTTTATGAACCAGATTTTGTGGTTCTGGGCTTTAGGCATAGGGGTGAGGCGGGGAGGCGAACGAAAGACCTCATGAGAGGCTGTGCGGACCGAGAGGATCCCCATTTGACACACGAAGAAGTTCAAGAGAGATGTAGATCTAACTTCACGATAATCTTTCAGTCAGAAAAATGTTGTAGGATATCGGGAATATGTATATATATATATATATGATTTATGTACCAGATCTTGCCACTACTACACTTTGATGAGATACTGCAACGAGCCATATATACAGTATGAGACACTATGTGTATGCTATACTACGCATGTTCTCTGGCAAGTAGAATGACTCGACCGAGTTTGCAGGCCATACAAGCGGTCCAACACGCCTTATGAGGCGAGGAGCATGGAGCCGCGTCTTGTGGATGGCAGCCCAGGCTTGCGAGTTCTTCCGGTCCATGGGCCTCATACTTTTTGAGGCTAGGGATGTGGGGATTAGTGGTTTCGAGGTTTTGATTGAAGTTTTACGGTTTTATGGGGCCGAGGGCTTGAAGCTTGGGTGGCTCGGCGCCCAGCCGAAGCGCAAGCCCGCGAACAGCCGCCCAAGAGTCGTCGAGGACGTCTCGCAGGGGGACAGCGGCCTGGGACGGTCTGAAGGAGGCGAGAAGGCATACAGTTGCTCCTTCCTGCTTCGGTCCAACTTGAACCATGTCACCCGCTTGGCAGAGCCCACACAGAGGTCGAACTAACACGAATCTTCTGAGTTCCGAAACTTGCCCGATGTCCCGATCTGCATGGGAGATGCTGTCCTGCAGCCAGCAAGCTCAAATCCTCCAATCCTTTCACTGCGAATCCCCGCTTGAAACTTCATACGGCCCTTCAAGCTTCAAGGTGCCCGCACTCATTCACATCTACTGTTTGAAAGCTGGTCCTGGTCCAACAACCGGAAGTGGATGTGGGTCTTCTCCTGAGTTCAACCCATCTTGGCAGGGTGCTGGCTGGCTCTGAAATCAGCCATCCGATCTTTGGCCAAGTCGCCCTGTTGCGAACCTCCGCCCGAAAACGAGCGCGGAATTGCGGATCCCGCGTGCCCTGACCGGCACGACTTGTGGGAAGCAAGTTTTACTAGTATCAGCAAGAGGATGCGGCAAACCTTGCTGTCTGAAGTGTCATACAGTTTCTGTTTGCATTGTGTTTCGGGGATGCCAGCACTAGCACACCTTGCAAACGGGCTTGATTTGGCAGCTTCAGAAAATCAGGGACCGTACTGCAGCATCGCAGGCACGGGGATCCTGACTTCGGAAATCCGTTCACCTAGATGACAAACAGGCTACCAGAAAAGGCAACATCATCCCTCCAGAGCAACCAAAACGTTACGCCGCGGCCCCCTGCGGCAAAAGATGCCAGAAAGAGGCCTTCGAGAAGCAAACCCAAGCTGGAGCCTCAAAGTCTCGGATGCTTCCCAAGCCTGAAACCCCAAAGCAGCATCCCTAAAGTCTCCCTAAACCCCAAAGCAAAAAAAACAACACTGAAGCCCCTGGACTCCAAAACCCTAAGCCGAAAACCCTCGGAAACTTCGGTGCGGTAGGCTGTCTGGTGCTTAGTAGGGAAGGTGGGAAGGGGTTATAGGGACTACCATAAGGGACCTTAAGGGACTATCATAGAAATCCATTCCCCCATTCCCTACTAAGCACCAGACAGTAGGGGGGGGGGGTGAGCTCGGGAGCCTCGATCACCTTTGTCTGTCCACTCCACTGCTCGTGAAGGGCACGCCACTCCTGGTAACCTGCGCGTTATTGGGCATTCCTAAACTGATGTGGGTGTCTAGCGCGTGAACCGTTCACAGAGTAGCTCTAAAGTTGGGGACTGGTAGGCCAGAAATATCCTCGCTGACAAACTTCTGCGTGCGTTTCGATGCTCGGGCTTCGGGCTCGGCTTCAGGCGCTGAAGGTTCTTACAAGATGTATCCGCGCTTCCGGCATGTCAGTCAGCTTAGCATCTGTTTAAAGCCGCTTCTCCAGACATATTCCAAACCTTACATGTAAAGACAACCATGTTTTCAAACACTGAACCCTGGACCTATGAGGAAGCCCATGAGCCTGAAAGGGCACGGGGATCCTGCAATGGATCTCCGTCGACGATGCTCACTACGACGTAGGGATCGCACCTTGGCAGGCTCCGGCGTTGCGTCGATTCCCCAACCCTTTGTCTTATTAGTCCAACTATGTCCAACTATATTTATATGAAGCTGACCCGGTGATGCCCAAGTCTCAAGCTGTTTCAGCCTTCGGATCCGGATTGAGGCTGCCACGATGCAAAGTACGTGGCATCTGGGATTGACGAGGCCTTCACCACCTGAATCTCTTTGATGCGCAGCAAGCGCTGGACCAAGACTTGATGCGCCAGTAGAGTTTACTGCTGATCGTGTTGTTGGCCAGCACACCCATGACTGGCACCACCACTCTAACGACGATAAGTCTAAAAAGAGATCAGCTTCCATGCGCTCACGATCTAAGACCCCAAGTGCAGGTCCTGAACCCTCCTTCTTAAAAGGGACCTCGATCTCCAGCTTCACCTTGTGGTAGTGTCTCCTGGGAGACCCGGACGAGTCTGGCCTGCAAAAGGATGATTTGGAGAAAATCTCTGGAAGACTGTCTGGTGCTTAGTAGGGAATGGGGGAATGGGTTATAGGGACTACTATAAGGGACCTTAAGGGACTATCATAGGGATCCATTCCCCCACTCCCTACTAAGCACCAGACAGAAGATTTCAAGGAGATGCCTTCGTCCCGCAGCTGACGACTTTAGGGCTTAGGGTTTAACTTTTGCGGCTTTGGGGTTTGAGGCTGCAGAAGCCGATCAGTGACGGAAGAGCCTACCTCAACTCTCCAGGAATACCAAGGTTCGCCCGAACTCCACCCTCTGCAGAGAACACGGGAGCTTGAAGGGACCCTTCTATAGAACCCTATAGACTATTGCGCAGATCCTTTCTGATTATCAAACATTTAAGGACCCCCTTTATGAAAAGCAAGGAGCCTTTCTATAGAACCCCAAGAATGGGATCCTGATTCTAAGGAACCCCTTGGTTTCAGGTACCCGGTACCCTATGTTTGCCATGTCAAGGCATCGAAGGAGCCCCTGACGGCTTCTCTGAACTCTCGGATACCTCGGCTCAGCCTGCAAACCATCAACGTCTGCGACCAAACTCCTCCTCGAATCCGTCTGCTTCGTCCCCCGTAACAATCGCAAGACTTACTAGAAGCCCTGATTGCCAGCAGGCCCTAAACCCCTGAACACCCTTCATACTATACCCAATCAACGATGCCCTACAGCTAGTCCTATTTATAAACCCTGTCAAAGTAAACCAATGAAGATCAGACCCCTAAACCCTACTACCCCAAACCCGAAACCCTGACCCCTAAGCCCCAAACCCTACGACCCCAAACCCCTATGTAAACCCCTACACTTTCCCCGGGCCTGGGAGCCTCAGAAGCTTCAGTCTCCTCGCCGTGTGCTCTGGGCATGGCGCGCTGCATCCGCTGGACATTCCGTTGGAGGGCCTCTCGTCTGTCTGGTGCTTAGTTAGGGAATGGGGGAATGGGTTATAGGGACTACTAGAAGGGACCGTAAGGGACTATCATAGGGATCCATTCCCCCATTCCCTACTAAGCACCAGACAGTCTTAGGGTGCAGGGTTTGAAGGTTTAGGGGTCTGGGGTTAGGGTGTCGCGTAGGGTGTAAAGCTCAAGGGCTAGGGGGTTTGGGGAGTTTGTGGTCTGGGGTTCTTTGACTCGGCTAATGTAGGGTCTAGTGTCTATACAGTTTCCCGGCGTGGGCTTTGGGTCTGGCGCTTATGAAGGCTTTACTCATTGCGCTTCAAGTCCCGGTTGTGGCTGGGGGCACGGTGGCTTGAGGGAGCAAGCTCGGAGATCTAGATGCTTCCGCTCTTTGGACTTGTGAGAAGTTGATGCTAAACCCTAAAGCCTAAACCCAATGCCTCTGGCCAAGTCTTTTACCATGTACGTCTCTTCAGGCATTGATTGCACGTAAGTATGATGCAGTCATGTCGTGGCTCAACGCACCTCCATTCGTTGTCTCTGTTCGCAGACGACTATGACGACGAAATATTCCGAAGGTGACTTGTTCTTGGGCTGCGGGCTGATTGCAGCTGCATGGTGATCAACCGTCTCTGCATGCTCATCCTGATGAGGATGGTGGTGATGATGATGATGTGCACCATCATGATTGGAAATTCTGATGACTGCCACCATGCTGCATCACTCCGATGACTGTCCTGTGTGCGATTGCTGCTTGGGTTGGTTTGCAAGCCTATGCCTCAAGAATTCTGCCAGAATTCATCCTTCAACAAACAATCAAGTCGCATTTTCACGATTCTTCCAGCGATCAAACAGGGCCCGGTCCACCACATCTGGAGGTTGCTCTAGACGAGTTAAACCCCTCGAACATGACTTTCAGTGGTATTGTCGCTTTGTCTCGTGCTCGTGACGACCCTGACATCGAGTTGAGAACAACCTCCATCTTTCGCAAGCGACCAGCGTTTCAAGCCGCGGCCCCTCACAATAAATCTTAGCCTGCGCCATACTTGTTCGCAGCGAGGCCTCGTTGAAGACAGCGCAAGCAAATGCAAGCCTCAAACCCAGCTGCCGTACTGAATAGGTGGATGGCAACTGGTTGACGCCGGCTGTCAATTCAAATTTTCGCGGTGGGCAGGTCACTGGGATTGCAGTATCTCAGGACATTTCAACAATGGACTAACATGGTGGAAGCCGAAAGTCTGCACGGCCATGGCAGTGCATATCCCAGCAAACCTCAGACAAGTGCTTTGCTCGCATGGTCTAACACGATGACATCTTTTGATGATGCACGGGGACTAGCCGTGCGCACAACAGTTCAATGCTTTCGTGGGAAATACTTTCATGCAGTTGCATTCACGGTTACAGGCTCGCTTCGCGTCGACCTAAGCGAATCTTAGCACACCCATGGGCGAGGAGAGGACTGCCCCGCACGCCCGCTTGCAGTACAACCCCTAAGCAGAGTCTGGCACGCAGCATGAAAGCGCTGGCACGTTGTCAACAGCGAAAAAGCATGCCACATGGCTTGCCAGCTTCTGTGCCGTCTTTGAGACCGAAACATAAGCTTGACAAGCACCTGGTCCCTGCAGACATCTGAGAGACCACTCAGAGACAGCACAAAAAAGCGCAAGCAATCTGCGAATTCCAGAATGCATGGCTGCAGGCATGTTTGTATTCAAAGGAGACGCTTGCGACACCATACAACAGCCTGCTTCCTGAATACTACGTGGGATGATCTCCCTCTGATGCCTCAGAGCTTGTCTGCAGCCTGCATGGTAAAGCACTTAAGCCGAATTCGGCCCTTTGCGGCCTAATTGTCGCGCACTGCTTTGACGACCCTCTGTACCTCTCCTGCACTTTCTTACAGTATGCCGTAGCTATGTTTTATAACGATGACATACATCCAACAACAGGCGATTGGGAGGAGGCTTGTCTCAGTCTAATTCAAAAGCCTCGTGAGTGAAGAGCATAGGCCTGAACCAGTCCTCGGTGTCGCAAGCTTCGAGGCTTCTGCGGATTCCGCGTGAAGGCTTCCAGCAGATTGTGCTATGCTCGGACAGTCAACCCGGAATGATGCTGAAGGCACGCCCCTCTCATGCCAACTTGAAAGTACCCAGCGCTGTAACACCGCAAAACCCAGCGCTGACGAGGAGCATTCTTGATGCGATCGGAATCCTTCTCGAAGTACTTGGACAGGTTCGCCTCTCCAATGCAGGTGCTGCTCGCGTCAGAACGGGAATCAACACTAAACCTATCGATCTTTCTGTCTGTTTGTCTATCTGTCTATCGATCTAAGTACGCATCCATCTACCGGTTTTAGCCGTCCTCGACCCTGTGGTCTGGTCTGATGGCTATCTAAATTGATGTGATCAGTTTCAAGGCGAGGCCCAACTTGGCAGCCTGCCTGATAGCCCTGCGTCACCGCCGGAGCGACTTCCATGATCTTCTTCGAAGCATAGAGCTTTAGCTGACGATGGTGGAAGGCCAGTGCAAACCTTGCGTGGGGGGGGGAAAGGGCGGAGGAGTGTTCAGGCTGGAAGGGTAGCAGAACAAAAAGCCGAGCTGAGACAGGCCCAGCTTTCCCAAGCCAACACCCTCCACCCCCAAACTTCAGATGGTTCAGGGGAAATGCCAGCTGAAGCATCATGTTCTAGGCTTGCCCAGCTCTTCGGCACCGGGTGGCTGCTTTGCTGCAGATGTGGAGTGGAAGTTGATGAAGCCATATCCACGGTTTCGCTTGGTCTTGAAGTCCATGGGTAGGTAGAAGAAATCGAACCTACAATGGGTCAGTGGCCCTTCTTCAGTCACTTGAGGTGCAACTGCCATCGCTTCCTGCTACAGCAACGCCACACTTCCATGTTGCCTAGAAGAGCTGTCAATTCACACATGCTGCCGGGAAAAACAGATTCCGCTGTAGTATCACGGTACATTGATGCACCGTGGTACTCTGAAGGCAGCCACTCCCTGTCCATACAGTAGCTCAGATGTTGAAGCCGGCGGGCATGCGGTCGAACCCGGCCATAATGACCTCACTCAGCAGCTCCTCGCAAGTGTAGCGATTCGGGATGTTGCGCAGCATAACCTCAGACGGCGTGAGCGTAGTGAGACCACAGGTGGAGCCATGAACATGTGGAGACCGAAGTATCGTATCGTACGAGGTCTGAACACACCTGAACACCATGGATTTCTTAACCAGAATATAGACAAGACGTGGTAGCGCCATGACGAACTGACTCCCTTCTGTCAGGGAGCTGTTGTTTTGTCATCCCGGAAGAGGCTGGCCACCTTCTGCGCGTCCCTGGTCCGCACGAGTTCACAAGAGTCCCACGGTCGAAGGCCATCTTACTTAGCGGCTAGCCGTTCTGCAACCGTAGTACAGGAAAAGAACTCATCACTCATCACGAAAAAGGCATGACTAAACAGCCTACATCATTGCCATCGTCGTCGGCATCATCTTCATCGTCGTTCTCACCCTCTTTCTCATCGTCATCATCATCATCATCATCATCATCACGAACATCATGAGAATCACAGAAAGGATGCCTAGAGTCTCTGCAGGCTCGAGGCATCACTGCCGCCAGGAAGCATGGACCTCTCTGGCGCCTCTTCTGCTTGCTGCAGAGTGTTCTCGGCACTCGCATCCTGACTGCTTGTGCTGCCACTTTCCTTGGTTGCGACCCTTTAAGGCCGAAGCTTCAGACCCCCCAAAGCCAACAGCAGCAGGAAATCTGCGAAACCTCGACTCAAGAATCCGATCAAGTATCGCTGTGTTCCGGGTTCGCCCTGTGCGATCCTACTTGTGGCATGCGTTGGCCATGGCGCGTGCAGAGTATCTGTGATCCTCACTTGTGGCATACGTTGGCCACGTGCAGAGTATATTGGCGGCAGGAGTGCGGGTGTGGCGGTGGTGGGGGTTGCGAACATACCCTGAACTTGCCAATCCTCCAAACAAAGTCGAAGGCCTCTTTATTCCTACCCCCAAACACTTCGCGCTCAGACCCCCACTGTCTTTGCCTCTTACAGCCCCTCTCGAAAACCCTCATCATCCCTCAAGGGTCCATAAGTAGAGACCCTTCTGCATCCCTGGGTTAGCCCTATCTTCCAGTGGTTCCTTCGGAGCTTCGACGCCCACCAGGCCAGGAGCCAACACCTCTCAGTTCGCAAGGCGGTTCGTGGCTTTCTTCATGTCTCCTGTGATATACATACACTGTGACATACATACACGACTTTGTGTTGTAGTACATGGGTCGAGGCAAGTTAGGCCTGAGGTTTCGGGCGCAGACTTGATGCTAATTACCCTTTGACCGCGGACAGGGAATTCGAACCATACACATCATACACTCAACTAGTACGAGACATGATTCGGACTCAATCATTGGGCTGGCTGACGAATGCACTTGACATTCATCTTGCTGGCGAACTTGGGTGTCACATGAGGACCATAAACAGGTTACCTTCAAGAGACGATTCGTGCACGGTGCTTGCATCGGGAGTGCTTCAATCGCAGCGCTCGAACTGCGGCTAGTGCTTGAATCGATTTTATACGTACTGGCATAGCATGGCACTTGGACCCCTACAAGCCCTGAATCTCAAAGGGGCCCCCGAACCCTTTAAAATAGGAGTCTGAGTCATCAGCATTCTTCTTTATGCCGACCATATGTCATTGACTTTGTTGCAAAGGCCACCTTGCGGGAAGAGCCCGCACGATGAGAAGACTGCCTCGCAAGGCCCGATCTCTTCGACGTTGGGGTTATGAGACCAATAAGGAGCCCCCAGGAATATTTATTGGTAATTATTCATGCTTCTATATTAGAGGCTCTAGAATAGAAAATTTAAAGTTTAGGGAGAGCTCTGGCTCTTGGATTGGGAGCTTTCAGGCAGGCTCAGGCTTCACAGGGCTGGATACTTTGGGATTCAAGATAAGTTTGTGCAACTGTTACTTTCTCTTTCGGGCTGGACCTCTGCGTGAGCCTCAGGTCCAGAACCAAAGATGGTGCAGCAGTGGTACCTGATATCTGCAGCCTGAAAGATTCAAGCTGCTGCTTGGTCGCTGCAGGAAGTTCTTTGTTGCCGGCTGGAACTGCTGCAAACAAGTCATGATTTCTAGGGGCTTCAGCGATACCACTTTGATCGCCGGGATGTGTGCATCCAAGGCACTCTGGCCGGTGATGTCCTGACAAGCAGGCTCTTGTCTTCATGAATCTCTGCAAGGATGCCCTTTTGACCACTTGTTGGGCTGCACAGAGAAACCGTTCCCGAACAAAAGGCACGTACGGTCACTCTCATGATGCGCCTGAGCTGGACGTCTCGTCCGGCTTTCGGGAAGGCTCGTCCGAGTTGGGTGCCCATGCCTGCTTGACAGAACCAGCATGGCCCCCGAGCGAGACTCTCCTGATGCGTGGCGTAGCCCACCCCGCACCCTGAAGGCAAAAGGCAGCAAAGCCGCCTCACCCTCACTCGACGGCTGCAGGAAGGGATCCAGGAGCCTAAGTTAAGGCAGCCGTCGGGTGCTGTGAAGGCTGTGGCACGAGGTTTTTAGGTCAAGCTATCTATGGCTTAATGTTCATCTGTCCTGTCGTGACCAGCTAGCATCACCAAGACCGTGTGATGGAACAGCTGGAACGCACCAATGGCAAAAACGGGACAGTAGTTGTGAGACTTTGTCATTGCGATCCTCATGATAGTGTGTCCCATGTGTCGCTCGAATCTTGCTGCTTCTTCCTTGACCATGAACGCTTGCATCATGCTTCGACCACTTCGACCATGGATTTGCTGTTCGTCGTGCATTAGAATGCAAAGACGATGGCGATCTGGCGCAGCTGACGACCTGGACAACCACCTCGACGACCCTGACCAGGATCACGGAAGTGTGACTGACGATGACGACGACGATGTGGATGGTGCTGATGGTGATGGTCATGGTGATGATGACGACGACAGCGTCGACATGTTCTTGCTTGCATCGTTTAGGCGCTTGGTGTGAATGTCACCGTGATCTGCGGTGCGGCGGCTTTAATTCTCCAGGTGTTGCTTTTGACAGCAGGAAGCCCCGGACTGCGCAGTTGTCGCGCGCAGCCGGCTTCATATTTGTAGCTTACTGCATCGACGAGCTACAGTGCATGAACTCTGCACCGGTCTTTGATAGAGCACGCCCAGGAGCAGTTGATGCTTTGTAGCAGGGGGAGGCATACTCGAGCTGTTCGGCGGCTCAACAGGGACGACGTGCACGACCGTATAGCCTGCCTTTTCTCAGGGATCTCAGTCTTACATGACGGCCAAGCTCGCCAACACGTAGCACCGGCGAGTTCAACAAAACATGCACTCAACTTTGGTGCCTATACCCCACTGGCCTGGGGTGGAGGTGGCGGAGGTGGCGGCAGAGCATACGGGTAGGCAGGGTTCGGCGCCATCACCGGAGGCACCTGATCAAGTGAATGTAATTCGGGGGGTTTGTCTACTGCCTCATCGGCTCCTGCCTGTGGGAACGGCACCATGTACGGATCCATGTAGCTGTTCGATGGCTGCGTAGACAGCACGGTCGGCCTGCTCGGATCTCAACGCCCGCTCACAAGACTTCATCTTCTGCCACGGGGGACGACGGTGATTGAAGTGACCCGAAATCCTAAACCGGATGCAGCCAGCAGGGAGAAAAAAGCGTCTCAAGTTTCGTGATGCCCAGGTACACAGAGATGATGGGCTGGCACGCAGGCTGGCAGGTAGGAGGCTGCCAAACGTTTTCCATCCTGGGACCGGGCTGTGCACGCTTTGCGGCCTTGTGGGGGCGGTGCATTAGGACGGAGGGCGCACGAGCCAGCAGTGGAAACGTCATCCAATAATAAAGGAGGCGGGGGGAATCCTGAAAACGAACTTCATGCTGGCACGTTCTTGTCCTTCTCACGCACACAGACCTCTGCCTGGCCCAAGCCTCATGCAGCCGTCAGGCGGCAACCAACTTCCGAACCGACCAGGAAACCCAAATTCTTCCTCAAAGCTTCCTCGGCCTTGAAACTCCCAACTTCCCCTTTTGGCCCTCCCGGACAGCACCTCCAAACCCTCCAGCCCTTCGGGGTGCTGGGGCTCCCGCGGTGCTACCCTTCCGAGGAGATGCGGGTACGGAGCACAAGCCTCTGAATACTCGGGATACTGAACGGCCACGGCCGCGACCTCACCGCAAGGCAGATGCTGGCTTTTCTCCCCTTTGGGCGTCTCAAGGCTTCGAGCTGGACTTCTCTGGGTCAGGGCGGGGGTCTTCCAATCTGGCCACGGCTACGTAGGCTTGGAGGTTTGTCTTGTTGCCGTGGTTCTTGCTGCATTGGTTGTTGCTGTTGAGAGCTGCTCGTTGTTGGCTGCTTGTTGTGCACTGCATATCCGCTATCGACTGCCAGATGCTGCGCAAGTAGATTGGAGAGGCTGACCCCATGTACCTTAATCCCTTCCGACCAAAGTGGTTGTAAGCCGAGTTCGCACTGAGACGGAAGTACAGAAGCTTCTTCTGTACAAGCAATCGTAGATCTCTCGGTAAAGCTTCGGAGGTTTGGTGAAATCCGCAATTGCTGTAGTCCCTACAGTCGTGACCCCGCACCTCAAGGTCGCGAAGCCCAGGACATTAAATACTCTAAAGCAAAGCCCTCAAGGCCTACTGCCTTTCAGATTCAATCCGACATAAGCCATGCCACAGACTCGTCCGCTGCAATCATCGCCACTTGGGAGAGAGGAGAGTGGCCCAAGAGGCTCGAGCCCACATGCTTCAGTCCAACATTTCGTTAGAACTCCTCCTTTTCATAACGAGAGACTCACAAAAACTGGGGTGCTCCTGCATCCAATCACGTACAGCTGCCCTTGAGACGAGAACATCCCTGAAACAACACAAGTTACTGGTTATTTGAAAGCTCCACAGAACGTGCGGGAAATGGCCCGAAACTTGTTTACAAGATGAAGCTCTGAAACGTTTGATCCGTCTCCAGGCCTCCCGGATGTTAACGTTGGTCTGGATTGCTGCCTCCCGATGATCGGCTCACTGGACTTGGAGAATGGCGGAGCTGGCCCCGAATCCCAGGTGCAGCTGCGGTGCATCCAGCCGCTGCTTTGCTTGCATCTGCGCTTGCCTGCCACGCACCAGGGCTCAGGGTCTTGGGTGTAGGGTTACTATGAATGCGTAGCGCGACTATCATGGCAAGTGTCGTGCCAATCCGCTGTACTATCATATACGTCAATGTATGTTGTTTGTTGTATCTCCTACGTTCCTATCTTGATGGTTCAATGTTCTGGCCCCTACATATACCTATCGTACCAGCATGGATGTGCCCGATCAGCACATTACATAGGTTGGTAGGGTCCTGTTGCCGCCGCTTAGTCTTGTCACGAGTATCTCTTGTTCAGTTCTGTTGTGAGAGCAATTGACTTTACCGTCTGCAACTGATATTTTGTTGGATGAAACTGCTTAGTTGATTTTTGTGACTCCATTTCATCCAATTTCTCAGTGCGCCTCCTGCTGGTGCTACTACTTAGCCGTCGTGTGCCAGCGCACTGTACGTACTATTCGCACTACAACTGTCACTCTTGCATTTGCAGAGATCGTCATCATCTTCTTCATCATGCTCGCCATAGTGTGTTCCTTGCTCACTGTACTCTTTCAGGTGTCATTCACCTAGTGCCCTTCTTGTTCTGCTGTTCTTGCACCTGCGAAGCAAAGCCAAGCCGGGCTCGCCAGCCCCAAACGTTGCCCGGTGGAAGCTCAAGCTTCGCAATTTGTCGGCCGTAGTCGGGCCGACCTGGTGGCAACTCGACCTGCCATGGGACTTCGTTAGTAAACTTTAGGACTTCTGGCATTTTGGAGTTAGTTTGGGGAGTTTGGGATTTGGGAATTCTTGGGGTGTTTCGGGGTTTCCTGGCTTACGCAAACCGCAGGTTGGTTGAGAGGTTTAGGACACAAGGCCTCGTGCGCTGCTAGAGCTCCCGCAAAGTACAAGACTACAGCTGCACAGTGCATGTCTCCGTGGGCCATGGGACTCTATGGATACAGGCTGTTACCTGTGTTTATGAAAAACATACATAGATCTCCGGCATGCTGCCAAGGGCAGGCCTACCCCCGAAACTCCAAAGCCCAAATAAGTTCCCTCTGCAGGCCTGGGTCATTTGATTCGAGTACATATTCCGAGCTTCGGCGATCTCTCGGCCGAATTCCTGGCACGAACAGTAAGCCCTGCTCAAGGCTTGGGTCTTCGACACCCAAGGAGAATTTGACCTTCTGCAGCAAAGCTGGTGAAACACGAATCCGCCACACGGCCCCTATAGCCAAATCCTTGCTCCCTGGCGGGCCGTGATGGAGCACTGCGCGTCCAAGTCGAGTGCTGCCGGGCCCACTGTCTGGGACAGGACGGACTCGTAACCTTGGTCTTCTGGCGATTTCCGGATTGGGAAAGCAGAGCAGAAGCAGGACTTCAGAAGCTGCGTCACTGATGGGTTTAAGTGGCACCGACGTCGACCCAATTGCAACGGCAGGGCAAGCTCCCACGAGTCCGCACCCGGAGCTCGGCTCAAACCTTGAATCCTGCGACACCGAACAAACCTATATAATATGGTGGGGGGGGCCTCAATAGTTAGAATATGTCTTGGGTTATAATATACCATAGTTATCATAAGGAACCCCCAAACTAGTAAAGGCAATTCTTAAGGCCCCGATATTAACATCCTCGTCTCAGGCCTGTTTACTGGGCCTTCAAACGGCAGATCTTGGCCAAGGCACTCAGCGAGATGGGTGCCACAGGCACTTGTGGGCCCTTGGTGCCGGCAACCTCTTTGAGGATGTCACCTTGGGGCAACGTAATAGAGGGGCCTGCGAAGTTCGACTGGGGCTTGTGGAGTTGTTAAGGGATGTGACGGATGTGACTGGATTGGATCCAAAACACCGGCTTAATCATGCGGCGCGGACTGCGCGGACGTGACGCGGAAAAGAGCTGGTCACATGCGCACACTTGGAGTACCGAGCCAAGTTGCTGTACTGCTGGACGGGAGGTGCAGCCATGGCATTCTGTGCCTGACTTCAAAATCGATCAGCTGAGTGTCAAACAAAGAGAAACGGGAGAGAGAGAGAGAGAGCGAGGTCGGTCTCGAGACGACCAGGAATTCAGCAAGTCTGGAACGTCTTGCGGGGCGGGCCTGCAGCTGCCAAGGAACCACACAATATGCCCCGGACGGCGTGTGGGGTGCCTGTCTGGGCTTTGTGCATGCCAAACCCTCGAAACACCTCTACCGAAACGAGGCGAAGGGATGCTGCTTGGCACAACGAAGCTACAGTCTCGCAAGCTGTGAGAAGAGATTGTTGGCGGTCGTCAGTGCCGATACTGCTCACCGCTCACCCTTACAAACCCTTACCAGAAAATACTTCCAGTACTATGATACGATATTACGGTATCATGCCCGCTGTGGACAGCGAGTCCTCTCCCAGCTCCTGGCCTCCGTTGTTAGCAGTGGGACCATTCCTCAAGGTCATCTTTCAGTTAGGCTTCTAAATGCCGCATATCAGAATGCCGCCGACAAGCTCGAGATCTCTAGACACTTCTATACCATGTTGCTTCGCATCGCGCGCTACATGACGCTACCCTCGGCTCCGAACTCCGTGTTGGCTGGAGCCAGAAACACATGGGTAGTTCTCTAAATTACGGTCCCTTTTTTGGGTCCCCAATATAGTACGGCACCCTTGTGAAAGGACCCTAAAAAGGGACCCTAATTTAGAGAACCCACATTGACATGAGCGCAACCGCTCGTCCTGCAGCCACCCCAGGAGGGAGACTGGCGGCCTGGCTACCTCGGGACTTAACCGACTTGGGCGTTTCCAGAAATTGGGGGTACCTTATTTTGGGGTCCTTATAATAAGGGTCCTACTATTTAGGGTACTAGATTAGGGTCCCCTATTTTCGGAAACCCCCACTTAGGGGCCTCGGCTTTAGGACGCCTCAGATGTTGCCTTCTGTGTAGGGGTTCGGGGTTCGGCTTGCTAGGGTGCCGTAGGGGCTTCATACTTCAGGGGCCTGTGGGCTTCAGGGCTACAATGCTCAGGGCTCTGGGCCTTGGTGCGAAAACTGCAAAGAGTCAGGAGCTCCTGAAAAGCATCAGGGCTTGCGGCAGCTACGACGTGCAGCTACGACCACTGCAAGTCCCAGTCTCCCGGTGTTCATCGAGTGCAAATCCCCCCGCACCTGGCCTAGCTGCGCCGGCACTGCTGGCGTAGTGTCTGATCCCTGGGGAAAACACTGGAAAGTGATAGGGATTCGGGGAGGAATGGCCGGAAATACAGCACGGTGCAAACCTCTGGAACTGAAACCCAAAACCTATACCCTACACCCTGAACTGAACCCTATGACTAGACTCTAATCTATACCCATAACCTTACGGCGGCCTCGGGCGTGCGCGTGAGGAGCTGGACCGCCAGCTTCTCATCCTCCGGACGCGGCGCCTGCCAAGTCGAAGGGAGGGCGGGAGCTGAAGGTGTGTGTGTGTGTGTGTGTATATATATATATATACATACCTAATCTAACAATTTAGGGTTTAGGGTTTAGGGAATGATCATAATAATAATAACAACAATAAGCATACTCGCAATAACAATACATTCATTGTGATAATGATAATTGAAGACTCGAGATTTTGGAGACGGATATCTAAGCGCTCGGGGACCCGTTTTTTGGGGTGCTGGTCAGGAACTTCTAAACGGCCTTAAGCCAAGAATGGCTGAACTGCTGGATCTGGCCTGATTCCGACCCCACTGCCACTGCCGCTTCGGATGCCAAGCTCCAACCAATGACAACATTAAAAATCATCATAATCGTAACCACAATCAGAATAAGAAGAATAATAGCAGTAATAGCGATAGTAATAACGATAGTTTCAGTATTTCTGATCATAACGATGATAATCATAATAATAACAAGACTTGTCGTAATACTAATCATAATGAATACTGTTCTGATGTTCGTTATTGTTATGATTTTCGCTAGTCTTATTCTTTGTCTTACTATACTTATTCGAAGATATTTATCTTTTTTCCTGAAGCTGAGGCCTCAAGCCTAAAATGAGGGCCAGGCGGTGTCGAGCACAACCAGCTCATCGTCAGATAGCTTCTTCAAAGCACCCTGTGCCTGCCAGGAAACAGGAAGGACGTTCGAGGAGAACTCGTAGGCCTCAAGTAAAAATCCTCGCCCTGACTAGCGCAAGGCTGCAATCCCAAGGCAACACAAAGAAGGCTTTTTCAGGGCTGAGGGCTTTAGAGTATGGCCTCCAGCTCCCCTCTGACCTGCCGCAACTTTGCCAGCTCAGCCTGTGCCATGGTAGTATGTTGAGGTCCTACTTCGAGTTTCGGCTGTAGGATGTTTCGGGTTTAGGAATTTGGGGTTAGTTCATCCGACCACACGGATTCGGAGTGTTCAGGCCTTTAGATCTGGCGTGTCTTGGACCGGGTGTGTCGCACGTTCAACAGCCATCTGTTTTCTAAGGCACTGTGAGGTCTTGATCCATCCAAACCAAATCAGCCAAGAGTCACATGGGAGTTTCAGAAAATTAGGGGTACCTTATTTTGGGGTCCTTATAATATGGATCCTATTATTTGGGGTACTACAGTAGGGTCCCCTATTTTCGGAAACCCCCACACTGCTGACACAGACTCTCTAGCTGGCCCCCACCTCGTCCTTGGTCAAAGGCTGCACCTCAAGCCGTCTGAGGGCAAGGTTCCGGGTTCGGACAGCAACTCTTTCAGGCCATGCAGCACCAGAAGGAACCCCCAAATGGGGTATAGTATACTATAATGAAATCAATGAACCCCCCAACACAATATTCTAATTACTAAGGCCCCTAGATCCGAAGCCCTGCATCCCAGACTCCGAGCTCAGGTCCGCACGGAGCTCGCCGCAGAGTCCTTCCGGCCCTGGCATGAAGGCAGGGAAGGCTGCACACCCCTACCAGTAAGTCCCCCAAAGCCTCGAACCGAAACACACCCCTAAACCCTGGGAAACAGGATCTAAATTTAAATCACAAGTAGGCACTCCCGGCACTCCGGTTCGGGCCTGGGGTCGGCCCTGGAGGGTGCCCTGATGGTTGGCCCTCAGCCTCCCGGAGAGAAATTCCTATGCCAGGAGGAGCCAGCAAAGGCTTAGGGTTTACGGGATTTTTTGTGCAGCCTGACCAGTGTTCTGACAGAGGAGGTAGGCTGCCAGCAACCACTCCAGCATAAACATCGTGACCCTCGCAACTCTTCGCATGGGTGGTTGTCAAAATTATGGTCCCTTTTTGGGTCCTTATTATAATACGGCACCTACTATTTAGGGTACCCCAAAAGGGACCATAATTTTGACAACTACCCGCATGTCAGCACCGCCTTTCGCGCACCGCCTGCCGCGCTTTCTTGCGCTCGGCCATGTGCCAGCGGGGCGAATTCGCGGCAAGGCAGGCGGGCTGTGGACTTCCGAAGGCGACCGTCACTGTTAAGGGATCGCATAATATAGGGGCCTAAAAAATAACTTATACTGTTTGGGGGTTCCTTACTATAACTTTACTATAATGTGCCCCAAAACACTATTAACCTATACTAGTTTGGGGGTTCCTTACTATAACTTTACTATAATGTGCCCCGAAACCCTATTTTAATTATGAAGGCTTAACCTTACTATAACTTTACTATATAATGTGCCCCAAAATCCTATTTTAATTATGAAGGCTTAAGGCCCCTAGATTTGTCTGCTGAACATCGTCCTTGCAGGGTCTGTGCAACCACACGAAGCCTAGTTTGGAGTTTCGCTCCAATGCAGATTTGCTGTGTTCGCTCCGCACCACCACCAAACTTATCTCAGCTTCTGTGCAAGTTCCATGTAAGTCACTACTTCACTTCATGCAGCCAGCGAAAACGGCATGGCCAGCAAGTCACACCCTCTGTTCGGCAAAGAAGGCATGGTCAGAACCAGCAACAGCACATTCCCTGCTGCTCTCAGACATGATCACAGCCAGCCAACCCAGGCTTCAGCCACTTGCACTGCAAGCAGTGAGCTCCCCCGAACAACCCAGCTCTTTGGGGTCGGGCCTTGAACATGTGGCCACCTTCCTTCAGGAAGATCGTGCCCTGCCAAGGAGACCGAATGACAGGTCTGTCTACAGCCCTGGAGCCCTTCGAGAGCAACAGGGGTTGAGGCTCCTTTCTGCGAAGGGCTGCGAAAGGCGTGCCAACTCAAAAACATCGGAGCCGTTCTTCACAGATGCTGGGCCTGGTTGCCCGAAATCGTGACCCAACCCTCGGCGCCGTCGTTCATGGCCTGCTCCAGGGATCCAAAGTGACTGAACCGTTCGACAAAGCGGCAGCAATAGCTACAATGGATCTTACAGCTATAGCTCTGCATTTACAAGTACAAACCGAGAGCAATGCGAATGACCGTGGTTTGCACACCCGGCCTTCACCCTGAGTCGCATCAGGTCCACCTTCCAGTTCTGAGGGATCGAAGGGTTTAAGTTCAGGATTTACTTTAGCATGCGTATATAGTATATATATATATATGCATATATACATATATATATATATATTCTATTTATATGTGTATATATGTATCTATGTATGTGGGATTCGGGTTTGGCGGTAAAGGCAAACACAGCATCATGACTCGTAGAGGCTCGAAGAGCAAGCCCGGAGCCCTCTGCAGAAACTCACCTCGTCCTCCTTCTGCGGGGTGCCGAGCGCTTCGACCACCTCTTATTGCGAAAGGTTGCATGCCTACGAACAACATCCTGGCAGAGGATCCTCGGCATGAGGTTTCGAGAGGTCTTTTTTTTATCACCTCTTTCCTTCGCCTGATAAGGTGTCCGGAATACCATGCTGGTGGAGGTTTCGAGAGGTCTAGACTCCAAGGCTCCCGGGCACCGGGACAGGCCTCCCCTTCGAGTAGGCGACGGATGGACTTGCTTTCCTCGAGCGAGGCAAGGAGTCGAGTGGTCACTGTGTGTGTGTGTAGTATCCCTGAAACAACTGCTGCACTGCATCATCACAGGGCACAGCGGGGCGGAACCCGGAGAGAAAGACGCTCATGCTAACTACCTCGGCGCCAGCAGTCCTTGATGCCTTTATGGTCTGTAAGCGCGGCGGTCTTCATTACCTGAAGCGCTGAGCAACAGCTGGGTTGCGTGTACTGGGGTGAAACCATTCCGGCCGCCTTCATGTATTTCCGCACTCGGCTGACGAGAGTCTCTTTTTGGACCTGGCGGAAGGGTCTCTGACTCTAGAGGCTTTCGTCACAAAATGTCACACAGACTGAGTGTTGGGGCTTCTGCTCAGCACCTATGAGCTCCGAACAGCTACTCCTCAATCCTTCTCCTATATGGTGCCATGTCTTTGAAGTGATCGTCGATGATACTTGAAGACTTGTTGTTGGTGGTATCACTGCGGTATCCGTTGGTTCCTGCTTTCTAACTGCCGGCATTGAGGTGTTGGGCACTGATCCGGTGCGACCACGACAGGCTGCACTGCTCCGAAGTTGAAGGGACGGGGCCTAGGCTGTTGTGTCAGGTCAGTCGGCCCGACAGTTTTAGGGTTTGGGGTTCAACGGATTTGGGTGAATCTTAGAACGAAGCTCCCGCGTTCCAAGTGGGCCAGCATAAGCTGCAAACAGAGCGGCCTCGGACGCTTTGAGGAATCAGGCGTGGTTTTGGTTTGCTCCTAAGCTTGTGCTGATGTTTTTTATGATGCCGCAGTATGATCCCTAAACCCTGAACCCTGAATACCCCAACAATAAAGTCTACTTGCCCCGGAAGTCCGACATCCAGCGACCACAGTCAGGCCGGGGCGGCGATGCCGTCTGACTCTTCGGCCCAGTGCTTGTAGAGCCTGGTGAGCAAAGCAGGTTTCCGCGAGGGCCACGACGTCTGCCTGTCTCTCTCT